ACAGATAACAGGTAGATGTTATTTATGTACTCTAATACTTAAAATTCACATAATTTTCATGTATCACAAAATATAATTTTTCTGTTGATTTTCTTCAACCGTTTAAAAATGTAAACAGCATTCTTAGTTCATGAACTACACAACAATAGACAGCAAGTTGGATTTGCCTCATGGGCTACAGTTTGCTAACTCATGCCCTACAAGATGCAAGATAATCGCTTTCCACATAGAGAATTACCATTCTTCAACTGAGAGATCCTATTAAAATCCCATTATATAAGCTAAACATGTTCTTCTTTTAAATTTTGTAAAAATATACTAGTAAACAAGAGGGCTGAGGCTAAGCTTTAGTTTAGAATACAAAACTATACATTTTACACAATTGTGGTATTCAAATATATTTCCTACTGAAAGACAGTAGCAACTTATAATAAAGACCTCATTTAAAATTAGGAAATACAGCCAACAAAAGAATAAAATAGAAACTTAACTCTTTACCATTTTACTAAAACTAATCAAAAGTCTTTCTTTGCCAGACTTGTTAATGTTCAGATTTTTTTTTAGAGAAACTGGCAATCTGTAATTTACCATAGTTAAACTACTGATCTTATTGATTCATAATTCCATTTAAGATTGCAATAGATCACAAATGGATGCCTCATCTACCCAAAATGACAAAAACCATAGAATAAATATTTACAATATTCTTCTAATGTTCCAAATTTTATAAACTTGACTTTTTTTTTAATTCATTTGATAAACTATAATAACTGAGTCTCAAACTATTCAATTAAATAGTGAGTGGATTAGAAGAACTATTTGCACATACGCTTTTAATAAATAGATGACTAAGAATCAATAGGTACATAGAATCTCTTCCAACATTTGGCAAAGAAGGCAGATCCCAAATAGAGGCAAATGGGAACCGGGTGTTAGTAGGGAAGGAGAGAAGCTGTAGGTAATAGAGACAAATAAAGCAATCTCAGATTTAAGCTTGAAGGTAATGCAACCTAAAAGCATGTGGGATGGGACATACACAGCCTCCGATGTCCAGTGCCTGAGGTCATCAGACTGAGAAATAGCCCTCAAGCACATGGTAAGATTACACGCAAAACTTTTTCTATAAACAGACAATAGATGATTTAATTTAATTTTTTTTTTTTTTTTAGTAGAGTCTCACTCTGTCGCCCAGGCTGGAGTGCAGTGGCATGCTCATGGCCACCACAGCCTTGGCCTTCTGGGTTCAGGTGGTCCTTCTGCCTAAGTCTTCCAAACAGCTGGAACCACAGGCATGCACCATCACACAAAGCTAATTTTTTTTTATTTATTGTAGAGATGTGGTCTAGCCAAGTTACCCAGACTGGTCTTGAACCCCTGGACTCAAGCAGTCCTCTCACCTCCACCTCCCAAAGTGTTGGCATTACAGGCATGAGTCACTGTGCTCAATGAATTTAATTTTTATCATACACACATTTATAAATATGGTTGACAGATAAACAATGAGACCATGATAAAATGCTTTGTAGTACATGGTCAAATGGGTAAACGCAGTAACTTACCATGTACACGTCGTATCACTAAATGTTCATTAAAAAGGGGTTAAGTAATCTGTCTAGTTTCACAAAGATAATTTGCCAAATTATCCTCCAAAAAGGTTATACCAATTTACATAAGGACCAACACTTTAAAAGAAGGCTTATTTCTCCATACCTTATACAACACTAAGTATTATTTAATTATTTAATCTTTGGCAATTTCGTAAGTAAAATAGCCCCTTTCTTTTTCATTTATATTTCTCTAATTGCCAATGAAGAACATCTTTTCACAGGAATATTGATCATCTGTATTTATTTTTCCAGGAACTATCTGTTCATTTGTTTATTTCACTTCTATAAGATTAATATTTCAACACAATCAACAACTAATAATCTTAACGCCTTCAAGAAAGAAAAGGTATTACTTTAACTTTAAAGCATCAGTATAGCAGTAAAAAAAAAAAAAATAGGAGTTTTCTACTTCTCAAATTCAAAAAATACATACAGATTTTAATGGAATTAGCTTAGACATACTTAATAACAGACATAATGAATAACTCTTTCTTGGAATCAAATCCTTGAAAAAACCATAATCTTTTTTTTTCCTTTTTTTTTTTTTTTTTTTTGAGTGGAGTCTCACTCTGTCGCCCAGGCTGGCGTGCAGTGGCATGCTCACAGCCACCATAGCCTCGACCTACTGAGTTCAGTTGATCCTTCGGTCTCAGCCTTCCTCCAAGTATCTGGAACTACAGGCATGTACCACCACGCCCAGCTAATTTTTGATTTACTGTAGAAATGAGGTCTCGCCAAGTTGCCCAGGCTAGTCTCAAATTGGTGGGCCCAGGCAATGCCCTCACCTCAGCCTCCCAAAGTGCTGGGATTATAGGCGTGAGCCACTGCACCCAGCCAGAAAGCATGAACAGAACTGTTCAATGAAATGTAGCTAAGTTTTAACTCAGTAAGATGTAAGCTATTAAATCTTCTATCACATTATCAAAGATTTATTATCTTATTACAATTTTGCTCATTGTTTCATCACTATAATTAACAAACAATGATTTATAAGCATAACTAATTTTGCTCTCATTATACCCTGAAAAGCAATAAAACAAATTCTTCTTTGGTCACAAGATCTCTTGTTTTACATAAGCTTATAACAGGCAGCTATTTTTAATTTTACCACAATGTACTCCAATATCTATATGCTCATTAAAATGAATAAATTTTTGGTGCTCATTAAAATAAATAAATCAATTTCAGTGTAAACTCCTTGAAGGTATTAATAACCCTTGCAACCTTAAACACAGAGTAAATATATTTGATGACTAAGTTATTTGAGAGCAATATATTTATAACAAAAAAACCAGAAGTAATCTATGTCATATTCCTTCACAGAGCAGTACATGAACTGAGAAATTAAAGGTCTCACTGCACAGAAATTGAGAAACTGCCATCTGTTTTGTGCCATGTATTCAACTCTATTGTCTAAAGCAGATTTTCTCAACCTCAGCACTACTGACATGTTTGCCATATAATACTCTATTGTGGGAGGCTGTTCTGCACACTGTAATGTACATATTCATTCAGTAGCCAATCAGACATTAGTTAATGTCTCCATCTATTGTCATATACGTATAAAATCACCCAGGGTGAGAACTACTGGCTAGAGATATTGGCATTAAAACTGCCAATGGTCAAAAACAATAGCCAAAGTGAGAGCCCTGTGCAGGGCATCAAAAACTTGGGTACAGCTTCAAGAACCCCAATATGGCTGCTAGGAATAACTCTCTAATGCAGGATATTCCCATACCTGCATTCCTCTCATCAGTAGTCAGTCTATCACAATTATTAAGGCTTTATCTTCTACTGGTGATTTGTGGACAATCATTTGTTAGTTTCTTTGATCCTATACAACCAGCTTTAAAGATTCCAAACTCCTTTACAAGAAATAGTCCCAGTATCCTACTTTAGCTAATTTTCTGTACTACTAGGATGCTACTGAACAATAGAATATAGCTTATTTAATTATATTATATGAGGACTTTTGGTTGAGTTATTTAAAGTAAAATTCCAACAGTTGAGATGATATAAGATGTTCAGTATTGAAGAGAAATGGGTGCATAATCATTCTAGCTGTGGTTCTAACACAAAGATAAGCACAAACAATGCTATTAACAAATATTATAAATAAAATCACCGGACTCTGTGGCTCAGCCTATAATCCCGCACTTTGGGAGGCTGAGATGAGTGGATTGCCTGAGTCCACGGGTTCGAGACCCGCCTGGGCAACTTGACGAGACCTCATCTCTACAATAAATCAAA